TATGCAGAAAAATAAAACAAACAACGTTTGCCTCAGCATTACATCCTAATTCCTTACCAAATGTGAAATAAAAGTTTAAATACCAAAAAAAAAAAATAATAAGGTGAAAAAAAAACTAGGCTACCAAAGTGGTCTGGGGTCACTTGCCCGACTGAGCCAMAAAAAAAAAAAAAAAAAAAGTAACATTTTTTATTGTAAATTTGGTAAAGAATTTTGATGTGACCCTGAGGCAAAGGTTGTTCAGTTTATTTTTCTCCATAACACTAAGCTACCAGCCGGGCTGCCCCGGTCACCCTATTTTCTCGGACGGCCCGACCGTGCAAGGGTCAAGGAATGTACTAGCGGGAAAAAAAAAAAAAAAAAAAAAAAAAAAAAAACGAAAAAAAACTATTTTATGCAGACAAATAAACTAAACAACGTTTGCTTTAGGATCACATCGAAATTCTTTACCAAATTTAAAATTAAAATAAAATTAAAATTTAATTTTTAATTTTTAATTTTTTAATTTTTTAATTTTTTTGGCCCAGCCGGGCAACTGTCCCCGGACCACTCTGGTAGCTTAGCCATAACATAGTTTGTTTTCGTATTTTTTCGAGTTGTTTTTTTTTGTTTTTTTTTTGCCACTATGGTAGCCTAGCCATAACATAGTTTGTTTTCGTATTTTTACGAGTTGTGTATAAAGGCCGAAGGCTTTTTATTTTTATATATTTGGGTTCGTGCAACATTTCCACGATATCGTTATGATCAATTAATGAGACTTGGATGAAAAGTTTTCTTGCCTTCTCTGCGCCTCTTTCTTATTTACAAAAGGCCCAGTCGATCTCGTATCCAATCTTGGATTCATCTTGACAGTGGAGAGTGATGTTGCAGGCTCTCATGTGTTCCTTGACTGAGATACGAACACGGTCCAGTCCGACCAATCGAGTATTAGACTGGAATATAGATCGTGTTGATTGTTTGCGACCTCACTCAATGTCGAAACAGAACGATTTTAGGCTGATCTCCTTAAGGGTCCGCATAAGACAATTCTTACTACAGGATCTATGAATTCTCCTTGGTATGATATGGATAAAACTAATATAAAAAAAATATAATCCCGGTGAGAAGAGAGCATGAAATTTATGAACAAATTTGTTGAAACGGAACTATCTACTTTATTACAATTGGATGAAATCGGTCGAGTGGTTTCAGTAGAAGATGAAATTGCACTTGTTTATGGATTGAACAAGATTCAAGGTGGAGAAATTGTCGAATTTGTCAGTGGTGTTAAAAGAATGAAAGTTTGTTGATTTAGGCTCCTTCTCGTCTGCTGATTCACTTAGTTAGGTACTATGAGCCCTCTTTCCCATTCGACCTGAATAGTTCACCGGTTCCACCAAATACTCTCATCCTGAAATGGGATTCCAACTGTCAGGTTAGACGAGAACGCAGATTGCGCTTTAGGTGTTGTTGCCACTTCATGGCCTGGTTGTACCCGACTCACTCTTTATGTGGTTGTTTGAATCAATTAACTTAGATTCATTGACTTTAGAAAATGAATAAATGTCTTGACGCCAACTTTGGTTGGATTTAGGCTCACCATAGTTCAGATGAAAGAGGCGAATAAGGGGAGTTGAACCCGTGTTTTCAAATTCACAATCTGACACTTTGACCTATTAAGTTATATTCGTTGTAGTCCCAACTCGCTCGAACTGACAAAGTGTTTTAGTCTGTCGTGTTTACCATTTTCACGAAGCAAGTATGCTCACTATCGGACTTGAACTGATATAGTTCTGGAAGATTTCATGATTGTTGTGTTTTGCATGCTATATCTTCTACTTTTTTATGTATTTTTTGAAAGTGTTGTAATCCCTATGTTTATTATCATAGGGGTATGGGGTTCGAGACAGAGAAAAATACGAGCAGCATATCAGTTTTTCTTATATACTTTACTTTTAATTATGAAATCTTTCATGATTGATGTGTTTTGCATGCGAGATTTTCTATTTTTTTATGTGTTCTTTGAAAGTGTTTGAATCCCTATGTTTATTATTATAGGGGTATGGAGTTTTAGACAGAGAAAAATATGAGCAACATATAAGTTTTTATTATATACTTTACTTGGATCCGTTTTCATGCTTTTAGTTATTTTATTGATTTTGTTTCAAACGGGAACCATTGATTTACAAATCTTATTAACAACAGAATTTAGCGAACGACGTCAAATATTGTTATGGATTTTTTTTTTTTGCATCTATTGCAGTGCGCAATCTTTCTCATATCGAACATAATAGATTCAGACTTGTTCAATTATGAAATTCACTACAAAAGTACGATAATTATGTTTTACACGCTTAAATCAAAGTTTGTATGTTGTTTTGGGAAGCTTTGCATACCTGGCATCACTTTTGATCTTGAATTCGTGATGACAAGGCATCACTTATAGACTGACCTTCGCCCTTCACTAACCATTTTGTGTTTTTTTTTTTTTTTGGCTGGGACCTTCTCTGGTCGTTGCAGGGGTTGGCCACCCAATTCGCGCGCGACCGGCTGGTAACCTGAAGAAAAAAAAAATGAAAAGAGAATTGAAATTAGTGAGTGGGCGAGCACGTTTTCGACACCACCGTCTTTGGCAATTTTTTATTTTGTTTTCGTATAGCCAAATGCCCTGAAAATTTACAGATGTGTATTTCACATCACATAATATAAAGCTCATAAATAAGTTTTAAAAAATAAAAAAATAATTGAGGCACCAAAATAAAATCAAAACAAACAGTGAAAAGTGAAAAAAAATAAAAACTGACTGGTCGAGCATGTTTTGACACTGTCATCTTTTGGCTTGGCAAAATACCTTGAAAATGTATATGCATGTAGTGCAAGTCATACAAAACTAAAAAAAAAACAAATCAAGAAAAAAAATAGGCCCTGAAATAATTTTTGGTAGGGGCCGAACCCCTTCAGGTTCAGACCCCGAACGAGACCCTTGACGCCCGAATGTTCGTGGGTGAGCTTGGGGTCCCCCGAACGCTCGGCCTGGTAACCATGCATATATGTATAAATATATATTGTGCATCTAGCGTGTCTGGAGTGTATTTTTTGACTGTGACAGACCTTTCTTTGTTTCGTTGATGTTTTGTTAGCTTGTGATGGGGTGTGAACCGACAGTCTGTAGAGTTTTCCATCTGGTGTGGGTGAGTGATAGTCTACTTTGATTTTGGTTAAGGTAGATKATCATTTACARTGTAATCAGTGAGRGGATTCTGYAGACTRTTGAGGGTTCAGCCTCCTGATGAGTCGGTGAAACTCCGACGAAACAGTTTGTCACAACCCCTCGTTTGTTGTCCTCTTCTCTCTCTCTGCCTACGGTTTACCGGGCAGTTCTGTTTGTGACGATATATGCTATGACTTCGCTAGCTTCCTGCTACGGTTTTTTCCAGGTCAGGTGGGGCAGCAGTGGTCGGGGCCGTTACTAGGCAGCCATGTTGTGCCTCTAGTCCCAACGGCGTGTCTGGAGTGTATTTTTTGGCTGTGACAGACCTTTCTTTGTTTCGTGGATGTTTTGCTGGCTTGTGATGGGGTGTGAACCGATAGTCTGTAGAGTTTTACATCTGGTGTGGGTGAGTGATAGTCTACCTTGATTTTGGTTAAGGTAGATTATCATTTACAATGTAATCAGTGAGGGGATTCTGCAGACTATTGAGGGTTCAGCCTCCCGATGAGTCGGTGAAACTCCAACGAAACAGTTTGTCACAGCCCCTCGTTTGTTGTCATCTTCTCTCTCTCTGTCTACGGTTTACCGGGCAGTTCTGTTTGTGACGATATATATATGTATATATATATATACATAGGGTCACCAGCGAATACGTACGGAGGTCCTCGACCCAAGCTCCGTACGTACGAGGCATTCGGGGTCCCGTTCAGGGTCCAAACCCGAAGGCGTTCGGCCTCCGCTGAAAAATATTCCGGGGCCTAAAAATAAGTCATTTTTTCCTAGGCTGTTTTTTCGGGCACCCGGGCACCCAACTTGTACCCGGATACAGGCCCGGGCACCCGACTGGGCATGAGCCCCTGGTAGGGTTTCGGGCAACCTTGGCGCAAAAAAAAAAAAAAAAAAAAAAAAAAAATCCAAAAATTTCTAGAAACAAAATATGTTGTCTAGAATTGCAATAAAAACAACGTTTGGCTGAGGGTCACATCATAATTTCTCACTGAATCGGAGATAAAATGAAAATAACAAAATCACACTAAGGTCGACTCCGAAAAAATGAAAAGAACATGGATTTGGGGTCCTCTGAGAGAGTTCAAAAAACCTTTTTTTTTTTTTTTTTTTCACGCCCGGATGCTCGGTCGAGCATGAAAATCTCTTAGTTTTTTTTTTGAATGTTTTTTTTTGAGTTCGCTATGACGTGAGGTACATGCCTATAAAGTTTGAACTTTGAAGTCATTTTGCTAAGCCAAACAAAAATTAAAAATCGTCAAAGATGGCGGTGTCAAAACGTGCTCGCCCGCTCACTATTTTGTTTTTTTTAACTTTTTACTTTTTGTTTCCACTTTTTTGCGGGGCCTAAACAATTTTATTATTTTTTGAAACTTGTTTCATGAGTTTTGTATTATATGAATACACATCTGTAAATTTTCAAGGCATTTGGATCATCGGATGTGCCAAAAAAAGAAAAATCTCCAAAGATGGCAGTGTCGAAAATGTGCTCGTTCACTCACTAATTTTAATTCTCTTTTCATTTTTTCTTATTTTTATTCGAAGTTTCTTTTCCAGATATCTGGATGGCCCTGGACCATCCGTATTATCCAGCCGGAAAAAGCCACCCGGAAGAACCCTGAAAATATCCTTCCGGGGCCTGCACAAAATAGGCGCAGGTCTTTTTTGGGGGGTTCAGGGGCGCACAGGGGTCTTGATCGACCCCTGGAACCCCGCCCCGGGGGCGCATCCGGTAAGTGCCCCACCGGTTTCAAAATACTAATGGTCCGATCTGGGCTGTCGATCGACTAACATCGACGGCCCAGATCAGGCCAATTTTTTATTTTGAATTTGCGGCCCTCCCCAACCGTTCTTACCCAGCAACAACCCACTGCCCCGTCCCCGTGGTACCTGCTGCTCGTCCCCGCCCGCCGCCCTTGTGCTCAGTCTGTCGGCGATGATGGCTTGCTGCCCCGTTGCCCCACTGCCCTACTGTTGTGCCGCTGCAGCCATCGATGCCCCCGCTGGAGCCTTCGTCGGGAGAGTCCTCCTGCTGCAGCGTCATCAAGGTGAGCTTTCGGTCCTCCTCCCCCTTCACCCGCCTCCACCACTTCCTCTTCCTCCTCTTCCTCTTCCTTGCTCTCCTCCTCCACCTCCTCATCTTCTTCTTCATCCTCCTCCTCCTCCTCCTCTTTCTCTTCCTCCTCGTCTTCTACTTCCTCTTCTTCTTCTTCCTCCTCCTCCTCTTCCTCCTCCTTCTCTCTTCCTTCTCCTCCTCCTCCTCTTCCTCCTCCTCGTCCTCCTCCTCTTCCTTCTCTTCCTCCTCCTCCTCCTCTTCCTCCGCCTCCTCTTTTTTCTCCTCCTCCTCCTCCTCTTCCTCCTCCTCCTCCTCCTCCTTCTCGTCTTCCTCGTTCTCCTCCTCCTCCTCCTCCACCTCCTTATCTTCTTCTTCCTCCTCCTCCTCCTCGTCCTCCTCCTCTTCCTCCTCCTCCTTTTCCTCCTCCTCCTCCTCCTCCTCCTCCTCCTGCTCCTCCTCCTCTTCCTGTTCCTCCTCCTCCTCGTCTTGTAGTTCTTCTTCTTCTTCTTTTTCCTCCTCCTCCTCCTCAGTTGCTACATGCCCAGGGGTTGCCGACGTATCTACCCTACACACAGAGTATATAACAGGAGGAGGAGGAGGAGGAAGGATGACGGGGAGGCGGCGAAGGAAAAGGAGGAGGAAGGATGACGAGGAGGAGGAGGAGGAGGAGGAGGAGGAAGAGGAGGACGAGGAGGAAGGATGATGAGGAAGAGGAGGAGGAGGAAGAAGAAGAAGATGTAGAAGACGAGGAGGAGGAGGAGGAGGAGGACGACGACGACGACCAAGAAGAGGAGGAGGAGGAGGAGGATAGGGAGGACAACGCAGAAGAGGAGGAGGGCGAAGGTGGACAGAGAGGACGAGGAAAAAGTGATGGTCGGAGGGGGGCAGGGAGGGGGGAGTCACCGAGTCAGGGGAGCGGGAGGCCGACTGTGTCGGGGTCGGACCCCAAACGAGACCCCGAACGCTCGTACGTACGTAGGTCGGCCCGGGGACCTTCGTACGTACAGGCTGGTGACCGTGTATATATATCATCAAACAGAGTTGCCCGGTAAACCGTAGGCAGAGAGGGAAAAAACGACAATAAACGAGGGGCTGTGACAAACTGTTTCGTCAGAGTTTCACCGACTCATTAGTATATATATATATATATATCGTCACAAACAGAACTGCCCGGTAAGCCGTAGGCAGAGAGAGAGAAGAGGACAACAAACGAGGGGCTATATATATATATATATCGTCACAAACAGAACTGCCCAGTAAAACCGTAGGCAGAGAGAGAGAAGAGGAC